GGGTCGGGGTGGGAATGAAACCAGAAAGTGGATGACAGATATGAGCTGCGAGCTCCCAGCACAGTGGAACATTAGTGATCCATGAGGGCCAGGAAAACTGACCCCATTGCAGCAGACAGGCCAGAAAGCACATTTGCATTCTTAAGAGAGGGTCATTTTAAAAAATGAATTTAATTCTTTGTCATTTTCATACATGGGTTTGGAAGTACCTGTTGGAGACTGATGGGCTGAATGGTGGGACCACAGCTGCAGAGAGTGCCATCCTAGAATGCATCAGTCCTGGTTCAGCAGGGAGGGTAGGGCCAGCCCCTCCTGTTCATCGTTGTTGACAAGGCTAGTCCTATGCAGACCTAGTCCAGGCAACCATGGCTGCTGTGAGCTCAGGAATTCAATGTCTATGTCTGCTTCACACCCACCACCCAACATCAGGCTCTTGATCTGCCTGTAGCCCAGGCTGGCCTTGCCCTTACATAGATCCCTCTGCTTTAGCCTCCCCAGTACTGAGATAGCAGGCGTGCACCACCATACCTGACTCGGGGGGGGGGGGGTTCTGAGGGTGAGATTAGCGGTGCACGTTTGTTTATGAGTAAAGTTTCCATAAACTGATACTAGAGGTACAATATTGTAACGAGAAAATTTTCCATTGTAGGTTTCCTTGAATTTTCTGTGGGAAAATTTACATACTTTCTGCTCAGCAGGCCCTTTCCACAGGGGGCCATTCTGCGTCATATTTCAAGCAATGTGACCTTCCTTCTTTTCCAAATACACTCGCAGTATCAGAACACCACTGTTTCGTTTACTAAGGTAAGTAGAAAGGATTATTCCATAAAGAGATCATCTCTGTAATGTTGTCTTGTGTGTTCACATCTGGTGTCTGTTTAGGTGTGGGCCTGGTCTCCAGGAGGCCTCAGTCATCTTTAGTTACAGGATCTCATTGCCTAGGCTGCCCTCCGTTCCCTTGATTCACAGACTGTCTAGAGGAACAGAACTGCATGGGGTTCTAGAAATGACTGTGTGAAAGACGTGTTCTCTCTCTGCCCCTTCTGATGGCAGTGGTGCTCTTGTGTTTTGTTTTTTGGTTGTCATGGCAATGGGTCTTTTGAAGCCACTGGCCCTACGCTCTGACCACTCTCTGAGGCTTGCCAAGTTGAAACTCAACTGCTGCATTTTTCCTTCTCATTCTCTTGGCTTTAAGAGAGCGTTCTGATTCCAAGGCAGGAGGACTGAGGGTTTAGGGCAGCTTCAGCTGCCTAGTGAGGCTGACTGCCTGGCCAACACGAACTCTTGTCTTAAAGGGAAAGGTTTGCCAACAGGCTGGAGAAATAGCTCAGTGGTTAAGGAGCACTGGCTGTTTTTGCAGAGGACCTGGGTTTGGTTTCCAGTACCCATGTGATGGCTTACAACCATCCCTAACTCCAGTTCCAGAGGCTCCGATGCCCTCCTCTGGCCTCCACAGGTGCCAGGCACACATGTGGTATGCAGACATGCATGCCGGCAAAAATATTCATACACACAAAATAAAAATAAGTGACTAAATAAATAATCTTTAAGACAAAAGCTTTTTGTAAACTGAACTCTTTGGGGTCAAAACTCCTGTTTTGTGTTGTTAGCCAGAATCTGACAGAATAAATCTTAATTCAGTTGAACTGTGTAGTACTTGAAAAATTCCATGTATAATTCCTAGAGTTTCTGTTTATTTTCCCCCTATCAAGCTGGGAATGAAACCCAGGCTGTCACACTTGATAGGCAAGTGCTTTACTGCTGGTCTACACCCTGACCCCTAGTGTCTTGGTTTTAAAAGATGGAAACTGAGGACCAAGAAGATGACCCAGTCTATAGGGCTTGAGTTTGATCTCTAGAACCCACCCAAACAAAAAAACCCAGCCAGGTCTGGTGTGGGTTCATTACCCAGCACTGGGGAGGTGGAAACAAGGCTCACTGGCTAGTCGGTTTAGCCAATCAGTGAGCCCCAGGTTCAGTGAGAGAACTTGTCTTAAAAAATAAGCTGGAGGGGATGGAGAGATGGCTCAGTGGTTAAGAGTACTTGTTGTTCTTGGAGAGGACCTGGGTTCAGTTCCCAGCATTCACAGGACAGTGCGTATCCATCTTTAGCTCCGGTCTCAGGAGACCTTTTGACTTCTGAGGGCCCCAAGCAGGCACGTGGTACACATACATATATGCAGGCAAACTACTCGTATACATAAAATGAAACAAATAATAAATCTAAAAATATATAAATTAATTAAAGTAATAAATTGGAGAGGGATAAAGGATGACACCCAGTGCCAACCTCTGGCTTCCACATATATGCTCACATATTGGCGTATGCATATATTACACTTGCACACACACGAATATATACACATACAGATACTTAAAACCATAACTGGGAGGTGTTCGTGAGGAAGCCTTTACCGATAAGATAGCGCCCCTATAAAACAGGCTCCCCAAGAGTGCCTTCCTCACTCTACTGTGTTTATGAACTCTAAAACCTGTGGTAGTTTGTTACAGCAGTTCAAATTTACTGAGGCAGTTAGTATATATTGCTAAATTTCTATTTATTTATTTTATATGGGTATATTGTTAGAATATGTGTTTGTGTACCACAAATGTGCCTGGTACCTGCATAGAGCAGAAGAGGGTATCAAATCCCCCGGAACTGTTGTGTGCCATCATGTGAATGTTAGGAATTGAACTCAGGTCCTTTGGAAGAGCAACCAGTGCTCTTAACCACTGAGCCATCTCCAGCCCTCAATGATGATGTGTTTCAGAGAATTCTCCTATGCGAAGGTGTGGATATGTGAACATAGGGCTGAAAACGCTACGAAGATTTTTTTCTTTTCTGTTTTGCGGGGTTTGGAGAGGGCTGCACACACTGGCTAGCTCTGCAGTGTATGTGATTTCTCAACTCTGTCTTCATGGTGGCTTTGCTTCCCAAATGCAGACTCTCCTTCCGGGCACCTCAGAGACAGGTAATGACAGAGGGCTGGTTTTCATCCTTAGACCCGAGCAGACTATGTGCACTTGGTACTTGGAGACGAAAGATGCCAAGCCTGTTCAAAATGTGGCCATTCCACTCTCCTACTCAGAAAGAGGTAATTTCCCAAGTTCATCTGTGGAATATGAGCTTTGTTTGTGGAAACCTAAGGAAAATTATCCTGGTAATATTGTTTATTACAGTTGCAGTTTATTTAATCAGAGTGTTTTAGTATAAGCGGCAGAGAAAGCAGCATTAGAACCAGCCCTTCATAGTTCCATGTTATTCTAGGCAGAGGCAGCAGTAAGCTTATCCTAAAGAAGGTGCAGGGTTTGGAGAGTGGTGAGCAGTGGGAGTATCTAGAGCTGAGAGCGAAGAGCCTTGAACACAGTTTGCATGCAGAGCCAGGGTGGGTTCAGAGGAAGCGTAGAGGGTCTGGGCAGAGGAACACTGTCTGTTTCATCTTTAGAGGGACTGATGATGTCGCTTGGTTGGTCAGGCTTTGCCCAGCATGCATGACACCCTGGGTTCCATGTCCAGAAAACTGGCCACTGTGTCGCGTCCTGTAATCCAGGACAGGGGAGGTGGAGACGGGGGACTGACAGTTCAGAGTCAGCTCCATGGCAAGTTGAAGGCCAGCCTGAGCTACAGGAAGAAGAGTAGAGTGACAGAGCAGTGGCGAGTCGGAGCTCTTTCGACAGCGTGGGGATGAGACAGGCCACAGTGACGGCTAAGTGAAGTGGGGTGAGGAAATTTAGACTGTGGAAGTTTGGGGGTAGGGCTGGGGAGCAGCTCTGTGGTAGAGTGCATACAGCCTGGGTTCGAAAAAGACATTTTGACGGGGAAGGGGATGAAGAACCTGTCATGACTCAGTCATGATCCAGCAGCAGCACTGGTGTTGTGTGTTGACATACTGCTATATAGGAAGTTCTCGTGAAGGATCTGTTTCCTGGAGCATGAGAGTTCTTGGGTTACTAATCTCACCGTTTTTCATGCAGATCCCATTCCTGGAGGCTGTAATTTGGAGTTTGATTTAGATATCGACCCCAACATTTACTTGGACTATAATTTTTTTGAAACAACTATCAAGTTTGCACCAGCAAACCTAGGCTATGCAAGGTATGGCTGCCTCTCCACCTCTGCCAAAACCCCGCTTAGGATGCTCATGGCTGCAGCACAGGTCCAGCCAGCTGCCTCAAGCCCCTCATTTTCTATAGTAAAGTTGGATTGCTTTTTGTTTGGGAGGGTTGGCATAATTTAAACCTCAATGCTAATATTTGAGCTGTTGTTTATACTGAATAATCTCCTTCTTAATTCTTTTGAATTCTTTATTTGAAGAGACAGGTGTGATGTGAGCCTGCCGTGAGCTTGGAAGTGCATCTTAAGATTTATTTTTATTATCAAGTGTGTATGTGTCTGTGTGGATATGAATACCTGTAAAGGTTAGAGGTGTCGGATGCCCTGGGGTAGCAGACTTTCTTTTAGGCCACCAACAAGCTCCCAAATCATGACATGGAGACTTATTATTAGTTGTGAATGCTTGGCCTTGTCTTAGCTCTTATTTTAATCTGTTTCTCTTCATCTACATTTTTATCTTTCTTTTTATATGTCCTACTCTGTGACTACTGGCTGGTGGCTGCATGGCTGGCCCCGGGCATCTTCTTCAGATCTTTGATTCTCTTCTCCCTCTGGAGTTAGATTTCTCTTCCTACTTATTCTCTCTGCCTAATGTCCCTCTCCTGCCTAGCTATTGGCCATTCAGCTTTTTATTAGACCAATCAGGTGCCTTAGGCAAGCAAGGTGAAACAAATGCATCACATACTTACATAATTAAACAGATGTAGCACAAACAAATGCAACACATCTTTACATCCTTAACAAAGGTAGCACAAACAAATGCAACACACATTTATACAGTTAAAGTAATATTCCGCAGCATAAACACATGTAACACATCTCTACATAGTTAATTTCCATGACACCCTGGAACTGGAGTTACAGGTGACTGTGAGCGGCCTAGTGTGGGTGCTGGGACTGAGCTTGGTCCTCTGTAAGAGAAATATGTGTACTTCACTGCTGAACCATCTTTCCAGCTCTGTCTTAGTTTTCTCAAAGCATTTAAATATAGCTTTTTAAATATAGCATTTAAATATTTAGGGCATTGCATAGCCCTAAATTCTTACACCTTATAAGGATTTAATTTTCCAAAACTCTGCCTCAGTTTCCACTTTAATATAATAGTAAGGACCGATTGACAGCTCTCTGCCCGCCCACCCCCCACAGTGCTGACTAGGGAGTGCTCTTGTTATTTAGTCCTGGTGCTCTAATAAAGAAGCACTTGTTTTATTTTATTTTATTTTATTTTCTGGGGTCTTTGAGGTTAGACTCCCTCTTCTGAACTCCATGGGTACTCACACTCACAAGTGCAGGCGTGCACACACACACACACACACACACACACACAAACAATCAAATCAAATCTCTTTGTAACCACATGATACAGTATGATACAGTATCAATGGCCCAGCCTGCTTCAGAATCTGTTTTTTCTTTCAACGATGTCGGCCTCTGTGTGTGTGTGATAGTCAATGCTGCTGTCATAGAGAATAGGATAAGCATCCCTTCTCTGAAACATCTGGGGCCAGAAGTGTTTGAAATTCCCATAGATCTTAATGGTTGAACATCCCTAAATAATCTGAAAACCCAAAATACTAACAAATCTGAAACTTCAGATATCATAGTAGAGCCCAAGAAGTTTTAGGTTTCAGATTTTTAGATTAAGGCTTGTCTGTACTGTAAACTCCATGGGTGGATTATGAACAACAGAAATTTACTAATTTACTTACTTAAAGGCATTTGTTTATTTGCTTACACGTGTCCCTGGCTGGCTTGGAAGTCTCTGTGTAGACCAGGCTTGACCTGAACTTGCATTGACCCTCCTCCTGCCTCCCAAGTTACAGCCATGCACCACACCCAGAAGTTTTTCTCACACTATGAGGGCGGCACCTTTGGGTCTGGCGGGGCCCCTCCTGCAGGTGCAGACTTCTTCTTGAGTCCATGTGAGAAGGGAAGAGTGCCTGAGATCTGCTGGGGCCTCGTCTGTAAGGACCAGTTTCACTCAGGAGGGTTCCTCCCTTATGACCTAACTATCTCCCCAAAGCCAACTTCTAATACTGTCACACTAGAGGCAGGAACTTCAGATACGAATTTTGGGCAACATAAACCCAGCCCATCGCTGTGTGCTGCTTTTCTCTACAGCACCACTTAGATTCCACAGCCCTAAACTTGGAACTGTGTCTGCAGAAGTTTGAAATGAGAGCTCTGGCTCCTTCTCATAGACAGGACTTGAGCCACAAGGGACTGATGCTCAGTTTTGTTGGTTGGCTTTAGAGGTGCGGAGCCTCCACCGTGTGACGTGGGCACGGGCCAGGAATCCAGGTGGAGGTTGCAGTATGATGTGTATCAGTACTTTCTGCCTGAGGGCGACCTCACTGAGGCCTCGCTGCTCCAGCATCTTCAAAGGATGGCCCAGGTGCCCCAAGTGAAGGCCAGTGCGGTCAAGGTGAGTCTTCTTGCAGCTCATGTGGCTGGGTTGGCTGCTCTGACATGATAACATCTGAGGAGAAGCAAGTCAATTCTGTCTTGATTGCAGCCATATCTGTGACCTCATCATCCTGAGGTACGAAAAGAAGTAGGTGATAATTTTCTGTACACTTCAGTAACTTAGATAAGAACTTCTGGCTAGTGTAAAGGGAAAAGTCTAAAAACTGAGAAACCACTGAAGGATATACAAATAGGTATTAATAGTTTTAACATATTTTACAAATTCTTTGAGAATTTCATACATGAATGCAATGTATTTTGATCATATTCACTCCCAACTCCTCCCTCTAACAATCCCCAGATCCACAGCCCCCCCCCCACACACTCCTTCCCAACTTCTTGTCTTTTGTTTATTTCAAATAACCCACGGAGGACAGTTGGTGCTCCCATAGACTTGTGGGTATGAGCCATCCAGTTGAGCATGGTCAACCTACCGGAGCTACACTCTTAAAGAAAACTGACTCAGGGCTGGAGAGATGGCTCCGCTGTTGGGAGCACTGGATGCTCTTGCAGAGAACTTGGATTCAGTTCCCAGCACCTGCATCAGGTGGATCAGAACTGCCTGTAACTCCAGCTTCAAAAGGATCTGCATCCTCTTCTAGACTCCATGGGTACTGACACTCACAAGTGCGAATTCATACATGCAAGTACACACACACACACACACACACACACACACACACACACACACGAACACACACATGCATGCATGCATACACATGTACATGCCCTTAAGAAAAATAAAATCTGGGCTGGAGAGATGGCTCAGCGGTTAAGAGCACTGGCTGCTCTTCCAGAGGTCCTGAGTTCAATTCCCAGCAACCACATGGTGGCTCACAACCATCCGTAATGAGATCTGATGCCTTCTTCTGGCCTGCAGGGATACATGCAGGCAGAACACTGTATACATAATAAATAAATAAATTAAAAAGAAAAAAGAAAAGAAAATCTTTAAAAAAAAGAAACTGACTTTCCCTCCCCCAGAAGCCATCACATGTCAATAGCTCCTGGGGACTCCATACTGGAGTGTGGATTGGCTTGGTTTTGTGCAGGTCTTGTGCAGGTGACCACAGCTTTAAAAAAGCCATATAAACACCACTTGTTATGTTTGTCTTTAGGTGGTTACCCTAACAGCGGATGATAAAACGACTGTGTCTTTCTCTTCCCTCCTGGGACAAGGGGTCATTTATAATGTCATCGTCAGGGATCCATCCCTCAATACATCTGCTGCTTATGTTCCCGTGCACACATATGCCTGCAGCTTTGAGTCAGTGGATGGTAACTGTATTTCTCCTGGTGAGTATCTGGACTTAAACCTGGACAAATTCTTCCTTGATTTTAAAAATCAATTTCCACTAGTGAAGCTTAAGATTACTCAAAAATGATTTGTCTAGCTTTCGTTCACTCATTCACCAGTTACAATTGTAAGACACCCCCACTCCCCACCCCCACCCCCGCATCAGGGCTGAATTCACTAGTTAAGAGCACTTGTTCTTGCAGAGGACCCAGGTTGGCAGCTCACAACCATCCATAACTCCATTCCCAAGGTTTCTGATTCCCCTTGCTGACCTCTGTGAGCACCAGGCTTGCATGTGGTGCACAGCCCCACATGCAAGCGAAACACTGGACACATAAAGTAAATCAATCTGAAAAAGGCGCCGTATTACTATACTCCGTGCAAGGCGGCAGAATAGATCAGTGCAAAACTAGAGTGCCAAGACAACAACAGACAAACCCAGAGCATCAAACATTTACCGGGGGTCAGTTTCCCCACCATATACAGTGTGTGCCATATACAGTGTGTGTGTGTGTGTGTGTTTGGTGAGGGAGATAAGATAGGTATGCTATATTTATAATATGTGTATACACACACACATACATACACACACACACACACACACACACACACACACACGAGAAGCTAGTGGGTACCAGAAAGGAAAAAACAGCAGGAAGAGGAGCAGTTGCATGTAGATGAGAGACAGGTCTTAGCCACCATGGCTGGTGAAGGCCTTCCTTGCAGGCAGGAGCATGTCTGGGCACCGTACATGCCAGGCAGAGGGCCAGCCATGCCGAGCCCTGCTCCTAGACACCTGCCTGGAGGTGTGAAGCAGGACAGTGAGAACAGCAGTGGCTGGAGGACAGGAGCTGTGAGGCCAAGGGTGCGGGGTGGTGGCTCCAGGTTGGCCTTGAGGGGCAGAGTGGGCTCTAGTTTTCCTTCCAGAGGAGACAGAAAGCACTGGAAGGTTTTGACCATAGGGCAGGCATCCTGATCTGACTCAGACGCTGTTGGGGTCACCCGGTGCCTGAGGAGAAAAGAGAATGGAGAACAGAAACAGCCAGATGTGTCAGGAGGCTCCTGGAGTGATGCAGATGAGGGATGTTGTGGTTTAAGGAGAATGATGTCAGAGAGAGGTTATGAGGGGTGTGTGCACATGTGGTGCACCTGCTTACACTTTATTTTGAGATAATTTCACAGGAACGATGGAAGGTAATATAAAGAAGTGTGCGTGCTCCTCACCCTGCTTTCTTGGGGTCAGTTACTGTGCAGTGCTGTTTACTTCCCTTCCTTTACTGTGTGTGCACAGTGCACACATGCCTGTCTTTCCCAGTCACTTGAGAGTAAGTTGCATGCACACATACCTGGGCGGGACCGTTCCCCGGATGAGGAACCTGTACTGTGTAAGGTGGGGAACGTGAGCTGAGCATTAGCCAGGTGTTCGTCACTCTGCTTTCTCACTGCCGGTGCAGTATGACCAGCTCTCCAAGTTCCCGCTACTGCGATTTCCCCACCGTGAAGGGCTGCACCCCTGAAATGTGACCCAGAAGAATTGCTCACCCTCCCCCCTCCTCTTTCTGTCTTTTTTGTTTGTTTGTTCTGTTTGGTTTTTCGAGACAGAATGTCTCTGTGTTCTGTGTAGCCCTGCTGTCCTGGAACTCACTCTGTAGACCAGGCTGGCCTCAAACTCAGAGATCTGTCTGCCTCTGCCTCCTGCGTGCTAAGACTAAAGGCTTGCACCACCATGGCCCGGCAACGCTCTCTCTGTTAAATTGCTTCTATCCCAGCAATAGGAAAAGAAACTGCGGCTTAGATTTGGCTTGAGCCACTAGAGAGGGAGAGCTGACGCACTAACAAAGGAAGGGCCTTGGCGGTGGGCTTGGGGCACGCTTTGAAAGTCACTTTGGGACCTGCTCGTTTGAGAGCCCCATGAGACGTTGCCATGGAGATGTTGAGTCCACGGTTGGAGGGATGGCTAGGACTGGAGAATATCTGGCTCAGGATGTGCGGCCACAGCCTGTTGGCTTCCTGCTGGGAGTTAGAATGTGGAAAAGGAGAGAAGGCGGGACCTGAAAGGTCCTGCTGAGGTGGCTGAGAAAGAGCGGGGTGGGGTGGGGCAGAAAGGGATGTTTCACGAGGGCAGTTTGAGAAAGCATGTCAAGAGCAAATGTGGCCAACCGCGCTAAAGCTGAGGAGAAGCTCTGTTGAAAAGCCACCACTGGCTTCGAAGCATGGGGGTCATTGATGCCATGAGGGCAAACAGGACAGGGTGGGAGAAAGTCCAGTAGCTCTTACAAGGGGCTTCCCTCTAAAGAGTCGTTGGTTGTGGTAGAGCCAGCGGTTAGCTTCTTCCCTCTGCTAGAGTTGTATCCACTGTTAAAAACACTTGGACCCGTGTTCCCAGCACATGGGAGGTAGAGGCTAGATCAGTTGTTTGAGGTCATTCTCAGCATGTAGAGAATTTGAGGCCAGCCTGGGCTTCATGAGACCCTTGTCTCAACCGTTTCCTTCCTCGGTAATTTATCCTGTAGTGCCGAGGGTTTAACGTAGGGCCTTGTGCATGCCGGCCAAGCAGGGCAGCCCCGCCACTGAGCTGACATCCTGCCCCCAGTGACTCTTGGTAAAGCTGTGAGGAAGACTGACTGTTCGAAGGAAGGGGCTTCCTCCAATGGGATGATGTCACTGCAGTGAGGTGGAGGACTTAGCTCTAAAGACAGCGCAAGCGGGTGGGATTGATAATCAGCTAGCAGGGGATTTGGTGGAAGGAGGGTCACCGAGGGGTGATGTCGGGGTGGGGTTCGGTATGAAGTGCAGTGTCAGGATTCTTGCTGAAGAGCGCCAAGGTGATGGATGTCACTTTGAGGGTGGGTAGAGGATGGGGATCCCTTTAAATATTTAGTGCAGTCAGGTAACAGGGAGGCTAGTTCTTGCTCATCGGAGTTTTTAGAGACCCTTGTTGAGACTAAACTTTGCAAGGATGTGCACAGAGGGCCCAGAAGAGGGTTCCAGAACCTGGTCGCACAAAGACAGTCACCTGACTCAAACACAGCCACCCCTGCTCAAGATCCTTGAGAGAAAGAGCGGGTTCCTGAGTGTGAGCTTGCCCATTAGGGTTCCTCCAGCCTTCTCCCCTGAGCCCCTGCTGGTAGGTCCCCAGGCCCGCCCTCTCCATGCCCAGTTGTCCTTCAAGCCCAAGTGGAGACTCTTGGGGATGCTAGTTCAAGTTTAACGGGAACAGGCCCTTCCAGGGCACACAGCAGGGAGGGTGTGCCCACCTTGCTGGTTCGTGCAGGCCTTGGCTTGTGGGTCAGAGCTCTGGTCCCTGATGGCTGAAGGCAAGCTTTGGCTTGTCTGACTTGTTCACTCTTTGTCCACACTGCCACTGTTACATCTAGATTCTAGTTTTTACATTTTCAGTTAATTAATTGGTAGCTTTTTTTTTTTAACTTTAAAAAAAGTTTTACATGCCAGGCAGCAGTGGCACACGCCTTTAATCCAGCACTTAGGAGGCAGAGGCAGACGGAGCTCTGAGTTTGAGGACACTTGAGTATAAAAAACTTGTGAATCACAGAAAAAAAAATCTTATCTAGGAGAGCAAGATTTATACTGTCCATGGGAAATTAAATACAATGTTTCTAGGGGTGTTCTGAGATCACTCAGACTTGCTCTGTACTGAGGATGACCTTTCACCACCTGGTCCCTTCGGCCACCTCCCCAGTGCTTGGATTACAGGCGTCTGTCACCATACATGGCTTAGATTCTTAGGACGTTTTCCCCACCCCCAGGTTAATGTGAGTAATTCTTCCCTTACCCTTCTATCTGGGTCTGTGACAGAGGAGAGCTCCTCTCCCGTGCCAGGAACAATGGGTAACTCTGTATAGTCTCGGGCAACCCCGCTATCTTGGTGATCTTACATGCTACTTACTAGAAACTACTTCGTGTGTGTGTGTGTGTGTGTGTGTGTGTGTGTGTGTGTGTGTGTGTGTGTGTGTGAGATGGTGGTTTGGATGAGAATGGCCACCATAGGCTCATATATTTGAATGTTTGGTCCCCAGCTGGTGGAACTGTTTTGGGAAGGATTAGGAGGTGTGGCCTTGTTGGAGGAGGTGTATTACTGGGCACTGAGGTTTCAGAAGCCCACGCCAGGCCCAGTCCCATTCTTTCTGCTTCCAGCTTGTGGGTAAGATGTAAGCTCTCAGCTCCTGCTCCGGTCAGGCCTGCCGGCCTCCATGCTTCCACCATGGTATGATGCTCCTGACTCACCCTCTGAAACTGTAAGGAAGCCCCCAACTAAGTGCTTTATTTTAAAAGTTGCTGTGGTCATGATGTCTCTTCACAGCAATAGCACAGTAACTAAGACAGTGTTCATGTGTGTGTGCATATGTGTGTGTACATGTGTGTGCGTGTGGAGGCCAGAGGTTGGTGTTGGATATCTCCCTATGTCACTCTCAACATCATCTTTTGAGACAGTCTTTCACAGACCTGGAGCTCTCTAGTGTGGCCGGCAAGCCCCACGTGGTCCTCTTCTCCACCTCCACAACAGCAGGGAGGCATTCACTGCCACATCCACTTGTTGTGTGGGTGTGGACCTGAACCCCTCCTCAGGCTTGGGGGGCGTTTCACCAGCTAAGCTGTCTGCTTCGCCCCCAGGTTTTTAATGTGAAGAAAAACCAGGCAGGCAGAACTCTCCACCCAGCTCCATGGTTTTGGTGGCAGTCACCCACGTTCTGAAGCAGAATGTGCGTTTTTATCCTTCGTGCAGTTGTCCTGTGGATCTGCCCTGATTCACAGACTGGCCTTATGCCTTTCATCTGTAGCTTAAACACATGTCCTCACGCTCTCTCCATTGGGCACTCTGGAGCAATTGATGTATTTGAATTTGTGGCCAATTTGTAAGTTTTTCAGAGTGTGTAGGTGTTTTGCATCTGTACTTATACAAGGATCATTTCCTCATGCTCATTTTGAAGGGTTTCCAAGGAAGGTGAATTTGGTGAATGGTGTTTTCTCTTGATAAGGGCTATCTTTTTTAAAACATCAGAGCAATTTATTTACTTTTATGTATGTGGATGTTTTGCTTGCACATGGTCTTTGCACTCTGTGAGTGCAGTGCCAGCAGAGGCCAGAAGAGGGCATTGGATCCTATAGAGCTAGGGTTAGAGCTGTTGGTGAGCCACCATGTCAGTGCTGGGAATGGATCTGCATCCTCTGTAAAAGCGACAAATGCTCTTACCCTCTGAGCTGTCTCCCCAGCCCCCACTGCTCAGTGTTTCTGAGACAGGCCTCACTCTGACTGTAGCACAGTTGGCCTTGAATACGCAGTGATCCTCCTGTCTCAGCCTCTCGGGGCTGGGATGGCAGGCATGCATCACCACAGTGGCTGAGTCAGGTTTAGCTGAGGAATTTTCTTTGACTGAGTCGCCCCACTTTTCTCCCTGCAGTTTATTTGTTGACCACACAGACTTGTCGTAGGCACATGTTCTGCCATACCCTTCCTAACGAAACAGCGTGGGCGCCAGGAGCATGCGCTGTCTGGTTCCATACCCTTCCTAACGAAACAGCGTGGGCGCCAGGAGCAT